GAGAGGAAGTAATACAGAGTAGGAAAGTGGCGAGAAGGAGGTAAATTGGGGGGGCCATAGAGACGACCTCTGTGGTTGTATATCGATAACCCTGGGATGGAATTATGCGGTATCCAACGAACCACAAATCGGCATCAGCTTCCTATGCTTTGAGGCTTTGAATCAATTGTTTCCCTTATTAGAAACTTTCTTCGGCCTTATTGTTCTAGTCGTATTGACATACACCTACGGGGTACATAGTACAAACACTCGGCGCACCCCACCTAATTCTAGTATGATAGACTAGTGACTGATTGATCTAGAGTGTTGATACATCCCACCTACGTTTGGTATGTATCTGCAGGGTGGGGTAACCGCCTTACCGACTTATCAATTGACCCTACTGATGCACATTCCTTCTAGCTTCAACCCACGACTCACCAATTCCGATTAACTTGTGTTCGCCCCTATCACGTACTACCACAGGCCCCATGGAATCCAAGGTGATCTTAGAGGTCCCTCTGAATATCTCGCAACAAAATCTAGTCGATCTAACCAACATTGGTTCTCCCGAGAAATTTCGTCTCGTCGAATGCGCAGCTCTACTCAGCAACCAAGGCCCCGTCCTCCGGATCGTACAGTTTGACGACTTCAAATTTGGCAACCGACCGCCAGCCGCCTACGCGGCAATCTCGTACATCTGGCAAGGAAATCGCACCGATTCGCTCTCAGGCACAATTGTTGTCGAGGGCGCGCTTGACGGTGATCCGATCAGTATCAACATCATACAACATGCATGCATTGCGTGCAAGCGTCGTCGATTAAACTATATCTGGCTTGATAGACTTTGTATAATGCAAACTGATAGAAACGACAAGGCATGGCAGATCCAGAGGATGTTCGATATTTACAAGACGGGACTTCCGCTGGTTTTGCCCGGTGGCCTCATGAAGCTGGTGTGTTTGGATGAAGAGACAGACTGGATCCTGCGCGCTTGGACGTTGCAAGAGGCGATTGTCTCCGAAGCCTATGTGCTTGTTTCGGCAGAGGGCCTTCATATTCCTCCCGAGAGACCCTTGGTTGATTTAATGGTATCTGACGACCCTCGACGCTGCATGTGTCGTGTGGAGTCTGTCGTACCTGATATGTCTGCCTTTTCCAGACTCGTGGACCTCCTCCAAGTCATCCGCCGAGGGTCAGGAAACGCTATTTGCCAAATGACCGCCAACGCAGAACCAACAGTGATGCAATTGAGAATTTTTGGAAACTACCAAACGCGGAAGAGGGAGATCACTGCCTTTGCAGACGCTACACAAACAATTTGGAACGGGTCAAATTGGTCACGCCACTCCCTCTGGCAATCTTCCTTCTTTAGAACTTCCAAGCGACCGGTTGACATGGTATTCAGTATTATGGGCCTCTTTGGGGTCTCCCTCAATCCTAAAGAGTTCGCGTCAACGGACCGCATACGTGCAACTATAGCTCTTGCACAGGAGTACTTGAAGAGGAGCAACAAAGCTGACTGGTTGATCGCCGGTTGGAAAGAGCCCCCAGATAGGCGTCTTTCGTCTTTCCCAGAGCTCCCGGAAACATCCGTGTCCACGGCTCCACGATTTTCCACAGAGAAGGATCACATATCGAATGAGCCTGACACGCCTCCCTATGATATCCGGCACCGCTTTGACAGTAGTTGGGTCCCCGGTGGCAGAATGGACGATGAGGGTTACTTTTACTTTACAGCCAAGGCGGTGCGAGTGGTCAGCCACGCCCTGGGACCGCGCGAGACGTCTTCATGTTGGAATCAACCCCAAACAACTCTGTCCGGGGTACTTAGGGCACTCGATGGGAGACTTTGGGAGCCACAAACAGGTGAAGCCCTGCCGGAGCAACGTGGCCCTTGCCACTCCAGCCAAGGCCGTGAACTGTTTGCAGCTGTGGTGGGCCTTGGCTTTGGTCAGGGCTATACTAGGCACGCAAAGGCTGTTTTACTAGAAGAGCATACACCGGGAAGGTTCCATAGGCTTCCGATATTCTTCGAGTTGGCACAGGATACTTTGGAGGAATGGAGGGAAATGGATCTTAATATGGGGCCGGTTCGATAGGTCTAGCAAGCATACACTAACTAACAAAG